CTCTCTCTCTCTAAAAAAAAAAATATCAATGGAAAATGTCCTCGGGTGAGGATTAACAACAACAGCAAAAAGACCACCGTTCTCACCTCTCGGAAATGGACCTTGCTGGAGTCCATCAGAGAGCGATGATGGAGATGCCAATTAACTCGCTCTCATCTTGCTCAGATTCTGTATTTAACCTAAAGGCCCTCGGTCTTTTGGGCGGTTTGCTCAGATTTGATTGCCTTTGACAACCAGAGAAATTGAATCATGGCGTGGAGGGGCGACCCCGCCTGCCTCGGGCACAGAGAACAGATACCAGGAGAGGAAGGGGAGAGTCACTCATGAATTATTCTCACATGTGTCTTCTCTGGCTCAGGGTTTGTGAGAGACTGAACTATTCTTTTAAAAAATGTTTTTATTGATTTTTAGATAGAGAGGAAAGGAGGGAGGGAGGGAGAGAAAGAGAGAGAGAAACATCAACGATAAGAGAGAATCATTAAATGGCTGCCTCCTACACGCCCCCTAGTGGGGATCGAGCCTGCAACCCTGGCATATGTATGCCCTGACCTGGAATCGAACCTGTGACCTCTTGGTTCATAGGCCTAGGCTCAACCACTGAGCCACACTGTTCTTTACAGAGTTGGGACCCAGTGTTGGCTTCCCTGGGGATCACCATGAAAATGCAGAAGAATGGATGGATGAATCACACACACACACACACACACACACACACACACACACCCCTCTGCTCCTGAGAGGGCCTGTGCCCATACACCCGTCGTGTGGCCCAGTGGCGCTCTCAAACCACGGGAAGCTCAGGTATGGAGGCACAGAGGATGAAAGGGCTTAATTTTCCTTCCTTTTGTCAATTGATCACACAATTAGCCATTTAAAACCCACCTCAACGTTGGAATTGACAAAAACAAAACAAAACAAAACACACCCTAGTTGGAAACAAACTGTATTGATCTTCAAGCCTTTTATGGACGGAGAAGCTCAACACAGACCACCTCCCCCTTCAGGAGGGGAGCGGCTCCCAGATGACAGACGGGACCTGGAACGACGCGCATTAGGAAGCGGCGGGCTTTCAATGGCGTGTTCGGGAAATAGATAACCTTAATAATGCCGGGGACGGGCCCAGCGCGGGTGGCAGAGGCAGGTCGGGGATCTGTGCTCTTTACTATCACCTTCCTCTCCAGCGGGCTCATCACATCGACAGCCACGGCGTCCTGGCTGTGAAACAGCGGAAACCGGGAGATGGGTTCCGCCCGTGCTGCCCTGAGTGGGGAACGTGGGCCCCCGGGCCAGGCAGGTGGGTATGGGGGGTCCCGCGGCCAATTCAGCAGAGTCAGCACCGCCCGCGGCTCCGGATGCCGGGAGGACGCCGTGCCGGCCTCACTCCGCGAAGTGGCCTCATCTTCTGCTGCCTTGTTTGTTTGGGTGATTTTGATTGATAAGCTCTCATTAGGAAATAAACCATCGATTTCATTCTACAATGGAGTGTTTTCCTTAAAAGAAAGCGTTTGGAGTAGGAGTTAAATAGCACCAGCAGTAAGGCTTTCTCTGTCCTACAGCATCGGGGGGAGAAGCCGGAAGTCAGACCCGCCATGGGGTGATTTTACTATGACATCTGACCACGTGGGAGGAGCCGCACCTCAGGTCTCCTTTTTAATTTGAGGTTGTAGAGATAGAAAACGACATTTTTTAAAAACCAATACTTAATGGTCTCATTTCTACAATTAATGGTCTTCAAAATTTTTTGAAAAGATTTTTAAATTGATTTTTAGAGAGAGAGGAAGGGAGAGGGAGAGAGAAATATCGATGTGAGAGGAAACATCCATCAGCTGCCTCCTGCACACCCCCTCCCCCGGGACTGAGCCCGCAACCAGTCTCAGTCTATACACTGGTCTTTAACTATGTATAGACTTCCAGCCTTTCCCCTCTGAATACACATTAAAATCTTCCTTAATAAAGCGTTACCAGTGCAACTAACGCCCCATCACAACCTGCGATAGACCCTGAACTTGAATTTGCCCGGTGCATGTGCAGAGTTCCTTGGGGTAGGACTGGGTTTGTCCGTGTATGGTCTGGTGCCACCAGCTCGAGTCGGTCCAGGTCATTTTGGATGCAGCTCAGCAGGTAGCTATGGTAACAGCAGCCCCCTTTCACGCCCTGCCTTCCCTTCACGCCCAGGAGGGGATTCGAGGGGATGGGTTGCTGTTACCACGTTACCGGGCTGAACGACACCGTGTTCCTCTTCCCTAGGACCGACGCTGAGAAACACCCATCAGGTGGGACCCGCACAGTGAGCACCTGTGTCCCGCAGGGCGGGGCCTTAACTGCAGCAGAGAGACAAAGGGGTAGTAGCAGCGCTGCGTGTCAGCGTAGCCTCCCTCCATGCAGCTCCCAATCATGTGGACAGCCGCCAACCCTCTGTTCAAAGGCCGGATATTATGCTTTGTGTTAGGATTCGGGGGGGTCTCACTTGAGAACTGTTCTTGCTTAAAATTAAAACCACAACTGGCCAGCGTGGCTCAGTGGTTGAGTGTCAACCTATGACCAGGAGGTCACGGTTTGATTCCCGGTCAGGGCACATGCCTGGGTTGTGGGCTCCATCCCAGTGTGGGGCATGCAGGAGGCCACAGATCCATGATATTCTCTCATCATTGATGTTTCTATCTCTCTCTCCCTCTCCCTTCCTCTCGGAAATCAATAAAAATATATTTAAAAAACTAAAACCACAAACCCAAATCCCGAATGAAACCAGTGAAATGCAGGAAGTCAGACGAGGGATGGAACTGAGAGCCCCCTGGCGCCTGTTGGTCCTGCTGTCTGAAGCCCTTGCCCCGGGGAGAAGGGGAGTGTCTGCCCATCAGATGCTGGCGCCAGAGGTTGGCCCTAACCCTCCTGGCCCTGGGGTGGCTCAGTCCCACCCGCTCCCCCTCTCCTTGCCGACCCGCGGTGACCTTGCCGACCCGCGGTGACCTTGCTGACCCCTGGTGACCTTGCTGACCCGCGGTGACGATGTCCGCACCATGGGGGCGGGTGGGGAGGAAGAGAATGGGCTTTAAAAGCAGTGTTAACGGCAGAATCACAGTGACAGGACAGAGACGGCTGTTCTGATGGCTGACCTTCTGGGCGTTTCTATCACATTCACATCAGGAGGTGGAAATGAATACAGGCCCTTCTCCGATAAATTAGTCTCTTTGTAGCTTTCCACGCTGAATGAAATCCAGGCCAGGTCCTGGTCAACCCCAGAGCCACACCGGCCAGGCAGGCATTGCCGTTTTATTAAAACACAACAACAGCTACTACTGTTTCCGAAGTCCCAGGCACATGCTCTAAACACGTAACATGGGTTATCTCAGCCGCCGCAACATCCCACGTGTACGAGGTCAGCAATGCTTGTGGCCATGAAGGCTGGTTATGTGTCCAATGTCCCAGGCCAGCAGATGGGAGAAATGAGGCCCAAAGTCAGATCTCTCTGACCCCAAGCCCAACCCTTAACTGCTGCTGACGGCTGCGGCCTGCATAACATCTGCATGACTGACAGGTGCTCTGCGACAGGGCTCAGCGCGGCACCTCAGATGCCCGGGCCTGGCTGGTCCCTGAGCCCCCTTCCTGGCTGAGGGCTGCCTGGGGCCTGGCTGGTCACTGGGCCCCCTTCCTGGATGAGGGCTGCCTGGGATCTGGCTGGTCCCTGGGCCCCCCTTCCTGGCTGAGGGCTGCCCGGGGCCTGGCTGGTCACTGGGCCCCCTTCCTGGCTGAGGTCACAGACATTAGCAAAGGGCTCCGCTGGAGTTTGTTTCACTAGGACCCTCTAAGCGCCTGCCCTTTGCCCTGTGAAGCAGAGAGAACATGTGGTCAGATTCGCCGGTGCCCTGGCCCCGAGTGGATAATTAATGGACTGAAGTCACGGAAGTCATTCTAAACACAGACCTACTCTGGCTCCGGACTTTCCGATCTTCATCGGCGCAGACATGCGTGTTTCGAATAAAAAGGCTTCCCCAGATGGTCGGACTTGTCCAACTTCCCACGTGACCCCGGACATGGAATCAGGCGATTCCTAAGGTTCCTCTGGAACCACCATTGAGGCCAATATCCTTCCTGGACATGCTTATTTGCCTGAGGCACTCTCACTCCACAGAGGGCGCTACGCAGGGGCAAGAAGGGAGTCATGGCGGGGGGGAGCAGGCATCTCTCTTATGGAGAAACAGGAACACGAGTGAATGAGCCCTGGTGCGGCAGGAAGAGCCAACGGGCACACGCACCAGGATTCCCGGGTTCACGTCCCTTCTGCTTCCCGTGACCTCGAGGGAGCCCCACCCTGAGCTCCATGTTCCTCGGTCAGAGCATCGCCAAGGGGCCTTCAACTCAGAAATTCTACGAGGAGGCGTGAGCTAAAGCGGCAGAAATGCAGATGACACGTCATTGAAAACCACACCCCTCACAGCTCCCACTCCGGGCTCAGCCCAGCCAATCCGCCGGGTGCGGTGCTGGGAGTGTGAGGGACAACCAGGTGCATGGACATTTCTATTCCCTCAAAACTGGCCGCGCAGCCCAGAGGAGGTTGTGAGCAGATTAACCCACAGCCTCAGCCCCTAGGGCCCAGACGGCGCCCTCACGGATCGCCAATGTCGCTGCTGAAACTGTCGCTAAAAACTGTGGCTTTGAGTCGTGGGTTTTCAGTGGTGGCCCTGTGTTCCCAGGCATGAGTCTGGGATCTACAGAGACTTGAGCTGTAATGAAAGGACTGGCGATACCGTGCGTCACAACACCATCCTGCACACAGGGCTGTGGTCCTCAGGGCTGAGCTGGGGGATTCGGAAACGAGGGAGCCTTTCCGTCACATCCGTCCCCGACAGCCCCTCGGGACGATCCGTGGCAGCGTGTTTGCCACGACGAGTTAATTTAGAAGCAGCGACACCTGCACAGCGGGCTCTGAGCGATGCCATGGCTACAAACCACAGGACTGGGCAGGCGGACCTGTGTTTGCGCCGGCGACCTCGGGTCCTTACCCTTCACCACCAGGCTCCCCGTGCTGCTGGCCGTCCCGAAGTGGTTCGTGGCGACGCAGGTGTAGCTCCCGGCGTCGGCTTTCGTCACATTGACGATCCTGAGGCTCCCATCTTCTGAAATGGTGATTCTGAAAGCAAAGAGAATAAACCCCATGGTGAGGCGACCTCGCAGGACCAACTGGCAGGGATTCCTGTCGTCTTTCAAACGGTTAATCACGGTCCATCATTTGACAATTTCCTCTTATTTTTAAAGTTTTAATTTAAGAAAAAAGTTTTAATTTTTTAAATATGTCTTTCTTGACTTTAGAGAAAGGGAGAGGGAGAGAGATAGAATCATGGATGAGAGAGAAACATGAATCGGCCGCTTCCTGCACACCCCCTAATGGGGATCAAGCCCCCAACCCGGAATTGAAAGGGTGACGACTTGGTTCACGGGCTGATGCTCAACCACTGAGCCAGCCGGCCGGGCCGGATGATCTTTTAAAACACAAATTGGATTATTGGATCGCACCCCTCACTCCCAGACTCTAACCGCTTAGCACACCGGCCAGGACCCTGTTGTATCTAGATGAGGTTTTGAAGTTTCCATTTCGTTTTAGTTTCCCCGCCTTCGCCTATTGGCCGACCGGTAGCTATTAGCTTGATATTGAACTTGGTGCTCCTCCAAACACTCATGACCAGTGATCGAAGGAGATGAAAGGAACTGGAAGTGAAGATCCGCTCCTGGCTCTGAGCAGGTGGGTCTCCTTTGAAATCATTGATGGTATCAGAGAAGAGAAAAAATGACAAAGCAGAGAGGAGCAAAAATCAAAGCGGGACACGGGACTCCATTTTCCCCATGTGGAGAGGTCATGACTCACCACACGGTACATCGCCTCCTGCAGGGCGAGGCGGGGCCCCCCGCCCCCCACCCCCGGGGAGTTGGGACCCACAGAGGACGGGCAGATCTGGAATTCTGCCATAAATTGATTCACTCTCGTTTCGTCCAAGGCTCTGGGCTACAGACACAGAGAAGCTGGCCTTGTCAGTCCCATGAGTCACAGCTGGCAGGGGACACGGGACCTTGAAAAATGCTGGCCTTTGCTTTGGGGCCCGAGTGACAGGTGACAAAAGCTGCACCGTAACCCACCACCTGTGGGAGGGCCGTCCCCTAATGGGGACTGGGGTTTTCTGAGCAGTTCTTCCCGGAGGCCCCAGAGATGGGGAAGGGGCGGCGTGTCCTAGCCTGCCTCCGGGTCACAGGGACATGGCCCTTCTAAGAGAAGCCCTTTGACATACAACGTAGAGGGGATGATGGGTTCCTGTCTCCCTCTCCACAGGCAAGCAAGAGACAGGTCACCCTGTCCGGCTGGTGTGGCTCAGTGGTTGAGCGTCGACCTATGAACTGGGAGGTCATGATTTGATTCCTGGTCAGGGCACATGCCCAGGTTGTGTGCTTTATCCCCCACGAGTGGTGCGTAGGAGATAGCCAATCAATGATTCTCTCTCATCATTGATGTTTCTCTCTCTCTCTCCCCCTTCCTCTCTGAAATCAATAAAAAAAAAACTAAAAAAAACCCAACCCACGTGTCTGGTCCAGGGCAGAGATAGTAACTCAGGTATATCAGTGATCAGTGATGTCTGACAGGAATAGGGGTGGGGGGGGGGGCGTATGGTTACAAAGAACAGATCGCTGTGAATCTGCCCCAGTTAGAGCAAAGCACAGGATAATATCAGACCCTGTGTGCACTGTCTGTGTGCACCGCCTGTGTGAGCAGCCTGTGTGTGCAGTGCCATGTGTGCAGTTTGTGTGTGCAGCGCCTGTGTGTGCAGTGCCGTGTGTGCACTGTTTGTGTGTGCAGCACCTCTGTGTACACCGCCTGTGCGAAGTGCCATGTGAACTGCCTGTGTGTGCAGCGCCTACGTGTGCAGTGCCATGTATGCAGTGCCGTGTGTTCACTGTGTGTGCAGCGCCTGTGTGCCGGGCTTCCCCGCACACCTTTCTCTAAGAACCAGCACACCGCATTTCTCACAAATCTGGTCCATGAGGCTCTTGTGGGAAGGGGGAGCTTGGAAGGATGATGAAAGGAATGTAGTTAGGAATCTTGAAAGCAGGGTGACCTCAAGCAACACACCAAATGCTCAGCAATTCTTTTCAAAGAAGGCAGCGCAGTGAATTATTCAAATTGGGTAATGCTGATCACAACAAAACGAGATTGGCTGATATCAGCCCAACAAAGCATGCCTTTGTTGCTTCATCTGTGCCCAGTATCTCAGGTCAGGGGACACAGAACTGTGAGACAGGGATGCCTGGGGCCGGCGATCAGAGCGAGATAGGGAACTTAATAGAAATTTTCTTGTGTGTGTGTGTGTGTGCGCACGCGCGTGGACCAAAGGTCCAAAACTAAGAAACAGAACGACCATTAACATTTATGAGCTACACGCGGGATGAAAAACCCGATGTTAACAGCGAGTTCAGCTCTTAACAATGAGGTGACCCGAATAGTAAGTGACGTGGGGAGATTCACTTGGCAGCGGTCAAATAGCCCAGGGAAGGCAGATGAAAAGAATGGAAGCCACAGGAGGTCTGCATAATGAGCAGCCGGCCATGAATTAGAGCTGCAATTAGACCCCTGTGCTCGGAACAGGGAACCGGGCTTCTTCTGCAGGCAAAGTGCTCAGGGGCGTCCGCACCTGCCTCCGGGATGGTGCAGGGTGCCCACAGCACAGCCCTGCCAGGGTCTCCTCCTCGCTGCTATTTACCACCCAGTTTGCAAGTTTTTACAGCGTCTTTTCTTGTTGTTGTTGTTTATCTCACCTGAGGATATTTTTCCATTGATTTTTAGAGAGTGGAAGGGAGGGTGAGAGACACAGAGAGAGACACATCGATTGGTTGCCTCCCACACAAGCCCCCCCCAGGGCCGGGGATCGACCCTGCAACCCAGGTATGTGCCCTTGACCGGAATTGAACCCGGGACCCTTCAGTCCGCAGGCCGATGCTCTATCCACTGAGCCACACTGGCTGGGACTTTACAGCCTCTTAGTCCCACTGCAGTCGGAATGCCCTGCCATTCCCAAAGTCCTCGTGGAGGCAGAAACCCCTAAAAGCTACTGGAAAGTGAAGTTCCCAGGGATGCTAAAACCCGAGAGGAACCATTATCCTTCTGTGAACTTAAGCATAAAATTTACTTTTATAATAGAAGTTGTGCCTTTGCACTTTTCCACGGTGTCTTTCTCCAGGAGACGCGCTCCCAGGTTCCCACGGCTACCAAAGGACTTACTCCCAGCCCTCCAGAATCCATATGTTGTTTTTAGGTTACGGGTACAAGCTGGCCCGGTTTGGAAAATGTTTGGCGAATGTACATTATAGTGTGCTGGGCTCCTGGCCAGCTCATTTGACATCCCCGAATCACTTCCAGGTCATTCGCCAGGTCACCCGTCGGAGGACAGGGAATGAAGGACAAGCACCGGCGTGTATGTTTATGCGGAAAGCCTGCCTGGGAAGAGCTGTTGCAACATGCCTTTGAGTTTCTCCATCCATCGAGCCGTTCTTGGGCCGTCCTGTGCCCATGGGGCCACAGGCATCTCAGAATAAGCCCGGAACCATTAGCTATGAAGAGATCGCCCTCATCCTCATTTCTGCAGCCTCTCCGATGATAAGACGAGGGAACCCAAAGTCCTTTGGTCTTGGCCTGCTCCGTGTAGCCGGGGCAGCATCAGGCCACGGACGTTCCTGGGCACCTGCCACTTGCCACCTGCCACCTGGGAGGCTCCGGATGCGAGAGGAAAGCAGCCGCGCTGCTCTGGTCACGGGGCCCTTGTGGCGTGGATGTGGCCGGCTCACCTGTTGCACCTGGTGAATGGATGTGCCGGGGAGGTGACGTGCACCCGGCTGGAAGGTGGGGCCATCACTCTTCGGGAGGTGAGGGACCCCAAGTTAAACTCTCAGCTGTGTCATGAACGAATGTTGAATGAAAGAGAAATTTTAAGCTTTCTAAACCTTAGTTTCCTCATCAATAAATGAAGCATTGGGCCCGGCTGGCTGTGGCTCAGTGGTGAGCGTTGACCTATGAACCAGGAGGTCACAGTTTGATTCCCTGTCAGGGCACACGCCTGGGTTGCCGGCTCGATCCCCAGGAGGGGGCATGCAGGAGGCCGCTGATCCATGAGTCTCTCTCAGCATTGATGTTTTTCTCTCTCTCTCTCCCTCTCCCTTCCTCTCTGGAATCAGTACAAATATACTTAAAAAATACATGAAGCACTCACTTTGGGGACTTAAACAGCTTAACGGACAAGCAGGTGCTTTGAGCACTAAGCGTGCCGGTTGCCCCAGGCTGGTGTTCCGGAGATGAGCCCGGGATCTCTGGGTCCTTTCTCCAAGACTGGCCCCTGGACCAGCGGTGCAGGGATGCCTGGGGGCTGCTAGGAAATGCAGAATCCCGGGCCCCAGCTCAGATGTTCTGAGTCAGAATTTTTATCTGAGAAACACTCCTCGATATCTGTATGCTCCTCAAAGTCAGAGACGCTCTGAGCCACATAGGAGTGGACTTGGACCTGCAACGCGTCTCCCGGTTCTCAGAGGGCAATGCCTGGGAGAATCGATACAGTCACTAAGCCGATTTAGTGGGAAAGAAATATAATTGGAAGACATTTATTCCCAGGGGCTGCTCGTCACTAATCGATGGCCCGAGACAATGTGGCTGCCCACTCCAACCGTCCTGTGAAGAATCAGCGGCCACCTTCCCCGTGTCCTCGCCCCGAGAGCCACCGTGGGCCCCCTCGGCTTCCACCCCCCAAGTCCCACCCTCCCATCCATCCCCGTGTGCTCCCGTCAGCGGCAGGCATTTCTGTCCATCACCACCAAAGAATGCGGACACGTTCGCCCTGGGAAACAAAGGCCTTGGGGGGGGCTGGGGACCATGGGGACAGGAGAGGGCAGCCTTCCAATATTTAGAAAAATGTTTGAGAAATAAGCTGGGATTTCTCCTGCACCACACCAGGGAGCTGGCTTCCAATGCAACGACAAAACCCTGTTTATGGACAAACATTCTTGATAAAAATTCCCTAAGGGATACAATCCTCCACAACAGGCATGAGCTTCTTGCTTTCTTTTTCTTTTTTTAAAATTGATTTTAGAAAGAACAAAGGG